CCCCCTGCCGCATCCAGCCTGCCCCGGGCCGGCCCTCGACCTCCGCGGCCCCGATTCAGTGCCCCGAGGCCCCACGTGCACCCACAGGCTAGTGTCCCCGGTGCCCGCATTAGGGACCGCCTCCCAGAGCTGCCGGGCACCTGCAACGCTCTCCTCCAGCGGCAGCAAGCCAGAGCCCACGGGGGCCGCTCGGAGGGCCCACCCCCACCAGCACGGGGCAGAATGTGGGGCGCCCTGGACACGGGCTCACGGGGGTGGCACGGATTCCACCCCAGACCCTGCGGCCCAGGTCAGCTCGGAAGGCAAGAGAGCGTGCGCGTGGGAAGCCTGGCACGGCCGCGAGAGGAATTGCAGGCTGGGTGTGCCCCTGGCCCGGTGGGAACTGCCTTCTGCCGCCTGCCAGCTGGCTTTGCCTCCCTGTGCCTCCGTTTCCCCTGTGTGAGGAGGGTCAGCAGCCTTTCTGCAAGGATCCAGCAGGCCATCCTTTGCACCCATCTCGGGCTTACAAGCGGGGCCCTGGGGTATGTGCACATCGGACATAACCCTGGAAAGGACCCGCGTCTCCACTGAACAGGAGGGAAACTGAGCCCCGGGCAGCCGGGCAGCCAGCGCCTGAGCAGTGGAGCCGGACTCGGGGCACCAGCGGAGCACCCCAGCTCCCGCCCTCTGCTCCCCGAGGCCAGGCACCTAGTGCAGGGACGGCGGCTGGAGGAGGAGGGTGAGCAGATGCGGTCGCCCCCCACCCCCACTCCAGTCCTCCCTGCTCCTCCCTGCTCCACCCCCTCTCCCTCCCCACTCCACCTCCTCTCCTCTCTGCTCCTCCCCCATCCTCCCCCATCCCTCCTTCCCTGCTCCTCCCCCATCCTCCCTGCTCCTCCCTTCTCCTGCTTGGCTCCTCCCTGCTCCTCCCCGCTCCTCCCCCATCCTCCCCGCTCCTCCCCTGTCCTCCCTGCTCCTCCCTTCTCCTTCTCAGCTCCTCCCCGCTCCTCCTTGCTCCTTCCCCATCCTCCCCCATCCTCCCCCATCCTCTCCCATCCTCCCCACTCCTCCCGGCTCCATCCCCACTGTCCCCTTTTCTCCCAGGTTCCTGCGCGGAGCAGCAGGCAGCCCTTTGCTCCAGCAGCAGAGGAGCAGAGGAGAAAACAAGCTTAATTGAATCCCACACTGGAGGGAGGAGCAGGTGCCGCGGGGGGAGGCCCTGGCGCCCGAGGCGAAGGGAGAGCCCGGCCTCAGTGGCTCTGACGGTAGCCTATAATTACCGCCCTAATGTGATTATATCAATTATCATGGCAATGTTGTGGCTGCTTCCATGGACCGTGCCTGTGCCGTGAGCCCTCCCACGGAGGAAGCCGGCCCTCGCAGCCCCGCTCTGAGGCCCAGACAGGCCACGTGACTCCGAGGCCACAGCGCTGCCCTCTGCCAGTGGGAAACGGGGGCTTGGTGCCACCGCGGAGGCCCCAGGCCCAGAGAAGCGGAAGCCAGGAGGTGGGCAGCAGGCACCACTGAGGCAGGGCCTGGGGGGGCGGGTGCAGGCCACCGGCAGGACGGGCAAGTGGGGGCCTGGGGAGCCACGGAAGTTTGAGGGCATGGGCAGCCGGCCAGGCAGGGGCAGGCCAGGGTGAGGTGGAGGCCCATAGTGGGCCCGGTACCCACGCGCCTTTCCCGGCCCTGGAACATCCCTGCTGCCCCAGTGCCCCTCCCCGTCTGGATCCTGCCCTCTGCAAGGCCCTCCTTGACTAAAGCCCGGGGAGCTCCCTCCCTCACCACCTTTCCCAGCCCCGCGGGCTGTAGGAACCCCAGGCCCCCGGCGGGGCTCCCTCTGCTTTCCCGTGTCACACTGGGACGCCCCTGGGTCAGCGCGGTCTCTCCTTTCCCAGCCCGAAGACTTGCTGCACCCGTGTTCTCTGACTCCAAATGGAAACACAAAACAAAACATAAATAAATAAACGTCAAACTGCTTTAAGCAAAGAAGGGACCTTATTGGCCCTCTGAAGAGAAACGGTATACAGCCGTGGACTTCAGGCACAGCCAGCTCCAGGTGCCCACGAGGTCCCCAGGCATCTGACCCCTCATCTCTTGGCTCTGTTGTCGCCTGTGCTGGCTCCATTGAGAGAAAGGGGCGGCGTTCTATGATTTGCACCAAATCAGGTACCTACTGCTGGTGGCGGCCTGGACTTCGGTGGCTCTCCCGAGAGCAGCGACGCTCAGGGAGGCAGCCGGGCTGCCAGAGAGAGGACCGCTGCCTCCTCGCCTGCACCCTGGGCTGAGCGCCGATCAGGTCGCCGTCACGGACCGTCGGGGGGGTCTGCCCTCACCGGGGTGTGGGTTCCCCGGGTTGGAGAAGGTGGGTGGAGCCCACGGTGAGGGTGCTTCCAGCCGGGCGCCAGCAGACGGGAGGGAGGGGCCTGCTCAGGCCGCCGGTCCCGTTTGTGCACATCCTTCTGGGTGTCCCGAGGCACAGGGCAAGCGCGCACTCGTGCATGTGTGTACCTTGTCCCCTGCATGCACAGAGACACACACACAGGCCGCGCAGACAGGAGAGCACACGCCAGCTAACACACATACGAGGCTACACTAGCGTGTGTCCATTGTTCACACGGCTACCCCTGCACTGTGTCTTGTGTGTACAAACAGGACTGCACTGACACGCACAGGTGTGCAGACGGGCACACACGCACACGGTCGACAGGCGCACAGAGGCACGTGGTTGTGTAGGGGCACACGTGCAGGGCACATACACGGGCACACACAGACACACACACAGGCTGCCCGGCAGTAAGTGGCTAGCAGGGAAGACGGCAAGAAGGTACCCGGTTGCCCTGGCAACACATCCTGGGACCCGACCAGGCCTCCTCAGTGTGGCTCATCTGGCAGGCTGAGCGGGCGGGGGGGCTGCTCAGGACCCTAACCCTGCACGACGGCTCCTGGGGGCTTTGTGATGGTCCTAACAGCCTGGATCCCATGGGGACAAGAGGACAGAAAGGAGCCGGGCTTGGGGTGAGAGCAGGAGACCGGGCCCTGGCCCGGGGGTCCGTGGGGAGAGGCCCACCCTGCCCTGGGGCATGCGAGGGGCATGCGAGGGGCACAGGGTGCTCTCGGCCTGCCCGAGGATCCCGGAGGAAGCCAGCCCTGGTGTGCAGGTCCTCGGGGACCCCCAGCTCTGAGCCAGTAGTGGGGTGACCCAGCCCAAACCTCGTCTGTGCTCCGTCCTACTGTGCGCGGGTTCAGGGCCCTCTCTCTGGCGAAGCAGGTGCGCACAGGAGACCGGATAACTGTGTAGGAGCTGCGCACAGCAGGCCCACGTCCCGAGCTCCCACCTGGCTCCTGCGTTCTCTGTCTGTGACACGGGGCTTCCTGGCTGGGATCTGAGGCTCCCCACAGAGGTCCGTGTCCAGCATCCAGCAGGGGCCCAACAGGCACTCCCCGGCCGGAGGACCAACACTCAGACGCCTCTGCTCCCCCCACAGCCCACCCAGCCTGGCACGGCCGCCCCGTCCCCCAGGTCTGCGTGGGAGTGGGTGTGCCCGCCCAGGCTCTGCAGAGTCAGGGGTGCAGGGAGGCACCTGCCCTCTCCTCAACCCGCCTCGCTGCCCCCGCAGGTCCTCCGGGCTGTGGCTCAGGCGTCCCCCCTCCCCAGTGGTGACCCCTCGACTACATCAAACGGCTCTGCTCTTGTCCCCAGCCTGAGTGCCCGCCCGGGGTGGCCCCTCCTGGGAAGGCTCGTCTTTCCAGCTTTGCCTCATCTCCGTCAATCCCGGAACTGGGGTGGAGGAGGACGCACGATCCCCTTTCTGAGCAAGTCCCTGAAGGTGCCGCTGACCTACCTGGACTCCCTGGACCTCAGCTTCCCCGTCTGCCGGGTGAGTGAGCCCAGGGCAGCCCAAGCCCCGCTCCCTGGACAGGAGGAGGCCCCGCTGCCTGCCTTGCTCTCTGGTGTCCCCTGGCCCAGCCCCCGGCCCTGGGACGGATGCCACCTCTCGCCACGCCTGTGCTGGATAGGGTCCTTCGCTCGCCTCGCCAGCCCCTCCAGGGACGAGAACACGGGGAGGCGAGGAGCCCAAGCTAACACGAGTCTCAGCGGCTCCTTAGATGAGGGCAAGGCCGGGGCGGGGCTTGGGCCCCCCCTTTACCCGCAGGCTGCCTGGTTCCCCAGTGACCCCGCAGGAGCCCGGGAGGGGGCCCAGCATGGTGTCGGGGCTGAGGACACACGGACCGAGATGAACCTGCCCCAACCCTGGTGTCGGAGACACACGTGACCCCCATCAGCACGTGAGCAGCGATCGGACGTAGGACCCACTGAGGAAAGCCCCCTTCCCCAGCCGAGGGAACTGGGAGGGCTCCCGGGAAGAGGCACCGTCTCAGCCGAAGCCTGAAAGTGAAGTTGGGGGCTGGGAGGTGTCCCCGGCTGAGGGAACAGCAGATGTCCGGGGCCTGCAGCCCCCGCTGTCCCTGCTGCCCCGGCCCAGGGGTCTCCAGGCCCCAGGACAAGGCTGGGGGTGGCCTCTGGCTGAAGCGCTTGCCCTCTGAATCCTTCTGGCTGGGGGGCAGGGCGGGTGCTGCTCTGGCAGCTGACGGCGTCAAAGGGGGTCCCTGTTGGCGACGACCCCACGGGTCCCCCTTGTCCCCAATCAGCAGAACCAGCAGGGGCAGGCCCTGGGCTCCCACAGTGAGGGGGTGGGTGCAGGTCCCCGCTCTCATTAGCCAGGCTGCCAGCGGTGGTTCCCGAAGCACCTGTGCCCTCGTCCGTGGGGTGGGCTGTCCGTGGGGTGGGCTGTGTGTGCTCGGAGGGCAAGGACAGGACCGCACACACCCCTGCTGAGTAAATGCCGCCGTCACCCGTCGCCCCACAGGGCCTGGGCGTCCCTGGGGCGTCACCCTGTGGCAATCAGGCCTTCCCGCCTCCGCCCCCGGCAGGAGACCGAGGATCCCCGGGCTTCACAAGCACCCCCCCAACTCAAGGCAAAATCCCTCTTGTTATTAAACACCAAAGCAAACAGATCTCCACCCCCGCACTCCCAAAACACCTTTATTGCACTAAAAACAGCATTTATAAACAAACACACTGGGGAGAGGCTGCGAACTCGGAACACAAAGATGTCAAACGGTGCAGGGCATGTAAGACGGGCCCTCCGCGGAGGGCGAGCAGGGGTGCGAGCGCCAAGCATTCGCCCTCTGTCCACCTGCTCCGGGCCTGTGGGGGCCTCAGGCCTAGGACAGAGGGGGGGGCGGGGGGCACAGCAAGGGACCTCTGCTCCAAGGGCCCCAGATTCTCAAAGTGCAAAGGGGAACACGTGCTTTCCCCGGCGATGGGGGAAATCATCCCTCCCCCAGTGCGATTTGGAAACCCAGTCAGGAGGACAACGTTTGAACGGGGAGGGGGCCCCAGGGTTCCCCAGGAGCATGCCCGCCAGGCAGCCGGGGACGGGCAGAGGCACAGCCGGCCTGGCCTGGCCCCTGCTTCGAGATGTACCCCTCGTTTGGTGAAGCTGGGAAATGTCCACAGACGTCATTCAAGGACCCACATTGCGACACAACAGTTAAACTCATGCAGCATGAAGGGCACAGCCAGGGTCCTCCCTGCATCCCCCCCCACACTAACCCGAAGCTATTTACCATGCACAGCAGGAGCCCAGCAGGATCCCCGGCTGTCACTTCCCGGGGTCTGCGGCCAGGGGTGTGCAGGGGTGGCAGCGCCCAGCCTCAGAGGGACAGGGAGGGCCGGGGGCTGGGGACCGCCCTTGGGGCCCGTGCTGCACGGCCCCGCCGGGGAGGGAGGCTCCAGATGCCCCGGCAGGGCCTCAGGTCAGGCCGGCTGGCCGGCAGGGAAGGTGCTGGAAGAAACCAGCAGACAGGAGACGAGCCCCGGTTCCGGCGTCATCTCCAGGCTCTCCTCCACCGCCAGCTCCGTGGCAACCCGGCCTCCCTCCTCCGCCCGTCGGGTGCTGGCTCTCGGCCCCCATGGGCTCCCGCCTCGCTGACCGGCTCTGCCTCCGGAGCCTGGGAGGGCCGAGCGCGGCCAGAGCCAGCCGAACCCGGGGCGGTGTGTCCGCAGCCCTGCGGCCGCTGTTGGCACATCCCAGGCCCGGTGCTGCTCGCCGGCAGGACGACTCTCCGGCCACCACCAAAGATACTTGGCTCGGCCTCAGGACGGGCAACCTCCCGGTCCGCCATCCCTCTCTGCTGCCCCCCGCACGGGGTCCCAGCCGCCACCCCGCCCCCGGCCAGAGCCCCTTTCCAGAGCTCAGAAAGGGGCAGGGCGGCACGCAGCTTAGGGCATGGGTGGGGGACACTCAGCCCCGCAAAGCGTCCCCTTCTCCTCCCCGGCAGCCCCCTCTCTTCCTCCTCCGAAAAAAATCAAGCCGTGAAAACTACCGTCCCCGTCACCGTTGGCAACCGGGTACCGGCCAGCGGGGACTGCCGCCCAGCCTGAGTGGAAACCCCCCGGCCCCCCGCCACTGGCCTCCTGCCCATCGGGATCCGGGTGGGAGGGGAGCTGGGGCGTGCCCTCTGCACCCCCAGGAGAGGCCCTTACAAGGAGGGGAGCAGGGAGGTGAGGGGCAGCTCCTTCTCCCCGAGCAGCGTGTCCCGCTTGAGGCTGCTGCCCTTGTTCACCACCTTGATCCTGAGGGCCAGCTTTCGGACGCTGGCCGGCCCCAGGCCGTCGAAAAAGAAGTCTTCGTTGAAGATGGGGTGGCGGCTGTTCTTGATGATGGTGCTGCGCTGCTTCTGCAGCTTGCCCGGGACCAGGCACAGCCCCACGCAGCAGTTGATGCTGCGGGCGTCGCACAGGCAGTCATAGAGGCCCTCGGCGGCCAGCAGGCGCACCCGCAGGCGGGCCTGCGCCGCCTCGTACTCCGCCAGCAGCCGCACGCTGCCCCGGGGGCCCACGCGGACCACGTGCTCGGCGCGGGGCGCCTGGCCAGTCTCGGGGCCCGGCTCGGGGGCGGCCCTGCGGGTCAGGCGGCGCCGCGCCCCGGGGCTGGTGTCCGGCGCGCCGTCCTCGCTGGCCAGGGAGCCGTGGCGGCCGGCCGACTGCTTGAGCTGGCTCACCTTGGCCTGGCTGTCCTGGGCGAACCCCTTCAGCAGCGACACGGAGCGTGAGAGCAGAGGGGACCCGAACGGGGAGGACTCGGCCGAGGACCCGGTGTCACTCTCCCCGCCGCTGAAGTAGCGGCTGGGGCTCATGAGGGCCCCCACCGCCTCCCTGGGCACCCCGTCGCCCCCGTTGGCCTTGGCGGTGCCCCCCCGACGGCGACCAGCCCCCGGGGAGCCCACCTGAGCCAGGGCCCCGTGCTCGCTGTGGAACAGGGACTCCTTGCGCCGCGTGTGCGGGCTCTCGGCCAGCGTGGCGAAGCCATAGGATGTCTGAGCCTTGGGCACCGACGGCAGGGACATGGCGCCCTGGGCCTGGGGGTCGGCGTTGGTGGCAGCCTCCTCCACCGGCCAGTCCTCCGCGCTCTCGATCTGGATCACATGTCGCGTGGCCGCCTTCAGCAGGTTCTTGCTCTCAGCTGCCAACTTGGCCGGCAGCCGGGGGCTCCGGGGGGCTCGGCGGGGCGGGCCCGAGGCCGGGTTCTGCTCAGTGGCTGCTGCTGCGGGGCCCGGCTCGGCCTGCCCCTCCGCATCCGTGGGGCCGGCGGGCAGCTTGGGGGGTATGAAGAAGTCGGGGATCTTGTCGGGGGTCAGCACGTTGCTGTACAGGGGCCCCTTGGCAGCCTTGTCCCCGGCCTCGCTCCCGGGGGTGCCGTGCTCCCCAGACCCCCGGAGCCGCTCCAAGAACCACATGTTGGTCTTCCTCATGGGGGCAGGAGGCCAGGTGGGGTCTGCAGGGTCTGGGGAGAGAGGAACCGGGGCCCTGCGACCGGCGCGGGGGCGCGGGGCGCCTGCTGGGGTGCACCGGGCTGGGCCCGCGGCGGGGTCGAGCAGGGCGCGTCACCCCCCTCCCCTCCCGTCCCCTCCCGTCCCCTCCCGAGACAGACCCGAGGCGCCTGGGCAGGTGGGGGCGGCGCTCGGACCTGGGGGGCCCCGGACCGCGACCCCCCCCCCCCCGGGCCGGGCCCCCGACGTGCTCCCCGCGGGTCCCCCCACCTGTGGCTTCGCCCGGCGCCGGGCGGGGGCGGGGCGCTCACCTGCGCGGCTGGGCCGAGGCCGGAGGTCGCCCCGCGGGCTCGCGGGGGCCGGGGAGGGTCGGGGCGCGCGGGGGACGCGGCCGCAGCTGCTGCCCGGGCGGCGGCGGCGCAGGGACTCATTCACCCGCGGGGAAGCCCCGCCCGGCCGCGCCGCCGTATTCCTCCTAGTACGGCCGCGCGCCCCGCCCCGCCCCCGCGCGCCCCGCCCCCGCCCCGCCCCCCCGCCCCCCCGCCCCGCCCCCGCGCGCCCCGCCCCCGCCCCGCCCCCCGCCCCCCCTCCCCCGCGCTCCTGCCTGCGGATGCGCGACCCCGGGCGACCCCGGGCGCCCCAGCCTCAGTCTACCTGCGCGGGGCTGGCAGCGAGGGGCGGGGCTCTGAGCGCGGCCCCCCCACCCCCCCACCCCAGCAGCCCGGGGCGCGCGGAGCGTCCCCTAGAAGGCAGGGCCCCTGCTCGCCGCTGCACCGGCGTCCACCCCGCCCAGGCGGGGCACAGCCCATGGAGCAGCCGGGGGTGGACGCGGGCGGGCGGCGTTCTCGGGATGCCCAGTGCCCCGTGCCCCGGGGGACAGGGACGCGGGCGGCCGCCAGTGTGGGTTTGCTGGCTCCAAACGCGCACCGGGAAAACACGATGGAGGGGACACAGGAGACGGGGGACCTGCTCCTCGGGGCTCAGGTCAGCAGGTGGCCGCAGCCCCAGGCCTCGCAGCGCCCGGCCGCAGGTCCCCTGGGCGTCCCCGGCTCCTCTGCTTGCTCAGCCGCTGCCCGCCCTCCCAGCCTCGGCGTCCCTCTCAGTCCCCTCAGTCCTGAGGCCTCTCTCGGTCCAGCTACTGCATGGAGGAACCCCGAGCCTGGGCTCGATTAGATCACGACTGTCCAGGAGCCTCCTGTGTTCCAAGAGGGCCCCAGGCCTCATCGTGGCCCCCGCTGGGGTGCGGGCTGGTCAGCAGAACGGGGTGCAGCCCAGAACTGCCGCCATCCACACCTCCCTTGACTTTGGAGTGGGTGCGGCTTCGAGTGCCAATGTCCAGATGGGAGAGGCAAGGCGCAGAGAGGTCCGTGACGCCCCCCGAAAGGCCTGTCTCAGCTTTGCTCTCTTAGCAGACATTGAGTCCTCTCGGTGCTGGGGGGCCCGGGCATGGCCACAAGGGTGACAGGGAGGCCGATGCCAGTGAATGCTTCACTTCCCCTCTACCTCCAGGAAGCCCGCCCTGCTTGGCAGCCAGGCAGGCCCAGCATCACAGCCTGACGCAGCCCGCTGCACCCCAACGTGAGCTACCGTGGAGGACGCCCCCGAGCACACACATTGCTCTTGTTGGGCCTGGAGCTCCTGGGAAGGGGTGGGGTGTGTCTCCAAGACACTGGGGTCTTTCATAAACACCTGCCAGATAAGTGGATGACCTAGCCCCACAGTGAGGAGGACTCCTAGGTCAGCGCTCATCCCGTGGGGGGCAGGAACGAGGGCCTCAGGGCCACCAGCCACCTTTGTCCATGCAAGGATAGGGACAGTGGTGCTCACAAAGGAGAAGTGCCTGAGCTGGTCTCAGGAAGGGGGGGACAATGCCAGGCTTTCTGATGACAAGCCAGCCCGGGCACTTGGGGCTTCACTCCCCGCTCCCCTTACCCAGCTCCAGCAGGGTCTCCGCCCCGTGGGTGGAGGGAGGAGGCGTTGACTTTATTCTGTGCTGATTCCTGTGCTAAGCTCCTGGGGACACTAATCTGGAGGTGCTCCCCTGGGATTCGCATCCGGACTGCTGGCCGGCATCTGGACCGTCTGGACAGGTGTCTCCTGGGCAGTCCTCGGGCACAAAAACTGCCCCCCTGCACCACAGCCTCAGAGCGAGGATGGCAGGGGATGACACGACAGGGCCGAGGCTACTGCGATGGAGGCGCTGGTCACTGCTATGGGGGGGGGCTGGCCAGGCCTCAGAGGGGACCCCGGAACCTGATTCCCACCACAGCGGGCTCAGCCAAGGCCTCACCTCTGTGCCCCCACCCCACACTGAGGCTCAGAGAGACAGGAACCTGGGGATAGGTCTTGGGAGGGGTGGGTCCCGCAGGCTGGCCCTTCCAGCTGGTCAGTCAGCCTTGGGGCGCATGAACGGGAGCCCCTCCAGGCCACAGAGCCCTGAGGCCGACTGGCAAGGCAGGCCCCCCCCCACCCCAAGCTGCAGCCTTCCTGGGATCTGAAATGGGGAGGCTGCGGTCTTTAGGCCCAAGTCGGGGAGGGGCTCGGGTGCTACTGACCAGCCCTCCCACCCGGAGTCGTGGCCCTTGTGCTGCCCGCGCTGGTCCTCTGCTCCCCCGCCCCCCGCCCCCAGGGACCTGACATCCTGGGAAGGAGGAGCCCGGCTGTCCCCAGCTGTCCCCGCAGCCCCAAGCAACCAGGGCTTCGAGGAAGGAGCTCAGAGGAACGGCTCCAGGCGGAGGGGCCACCTCGTCCCCACACAGCTCTGGGCAACAGCCCTGTCCCTCCCCTGGGAGAGGGCCCGGAAGGCCTGTCCGCTAGCTCCCAGGAGAGACCTTGGCCGCCCCCCGGGGTTCCAGACGGGGCACAGGGGACCCCATTCGGGGAGGAGGGGAAGCAAGCGGCTCAAGGCTGCTTCCCGCCGGGGCTCCCCGAGGATGAGGCTGGCACAAGGAGCATGTGCGGACCGCACAGCTGGAGGGAGATGGGGCGGGAGAGGGGTGCGAGGGACCCCGCCGCAGCCAGGCTCCTGGGGGTGATGGGGGGAGCCCCTGCACCCGCATCTTAGGTAGGGACAAGGCGACGCCCACAGCGACACAGCCCTTGGGTCCCGCTCGGGCAGGGGTGCTAACTGGGAGAGGCTTGCGGGACCAGCCTTGCGGGACGCGGGGGAAGCCAGGAGCGAAGGAACAAGCGCATCGGGGCCCCTCTCCTGCCCGCAGATCTCTGGAATCTGATACTTGCTGAGACTCCCCTAGTCCAGAACCCAGTCAATCCTCCTGGCTGCCCCACCTGCCTCTCCTCTCCCCAACGCCGATTTCCCACTCAGAAATCCGATCACTTCTGTGCTTGAAGGGTCCCAGGCGCTCTCCCGGGCCCCAGGCTTCAGCCCGGCGCTGTCCTCCCCTCCACCACCCCTCTGCTCTCACCTCCAGTCACACAAGCCGTCCTTCTGTTCCCGGAATGTGCTGTGAGCCACACATACCACAGGGCCTTTGCACATGCTGTTCCTTCTGCCTAGAACTCTGTCCTCCTCACCTGGGCCTCTCATCCTCCAGATCACAGCCCCTGGGTCATTCCCTCAGAGAGACCCTCCTGGATTTCCTGGGGTCCCTAAGTTGCACGACTCTCTCCTTTTCAGAGTTGTCATCACACGCCGAGCGGTGATTTGATTCATGTCCCTTGACTATCAACTGCATGAGGACAGATCTGTCCCGGTCACCGCTGCATCCTTGGTATCCACCTGGCCGAGGTCCTGGCAGGTGAGAGGAGCCCAACACAGGCACAGAGCAGATATCAGGATGGGGGAGCGGCGGGTGGACCAGTGAAGGGAATGAATAACAGATGGACGGCGGATGGGTGGAGAGGCCGAGGGACAGACGGGTGCCTCTGTCTCCGTGTCCCTAAAGTAAGACACACGGCGGCAGAGTCCCCTCTGGCTCTGCCTTTTGAAAGCTGCCCCCACCCAGTTACAGACCAGAGTGGCTGTGGCTCCCCAGACTCTCTGGGCTCCCCCAGGGCAGGGGACGGGGCCTGCTGGCTGCAGAGAGAGCCAGACGGCGGGCGGGACGCGGGGGGGGGGGGGCTGGGAAGGCCTCTGGGAGCGTCAGAGATGGGGGTCTCTGGAGGGAGAGCCCGGAAATCACATGAGGGAAGGTCTGGAGCACGGGCTCTGAGGGTGACAGGAGGGGACACCTGAGAAGTCGGGCCACATTCAGGTAAGTCGGGAGCAGTGAGGAGGAGGAAACGGAGCTGCGTGCCAGGTATGCAGGGCGTCTTGCACGAGAGGCTTGCAGCGTGTCGGAGATACACCACGGTGTTTCCGGGGGGGTGTCTAAGAGGAGGGGGTGCATTCCCGGGGGTGGTGGAGGCGTCCGGATGACGTCCGGGTTCTGGGGGAGCCCCCCCAGGGACACACAGGCCCGCTCCCTGCGCTCCATTCCCCACACCCTCCAGCCCCGGGGAAGGGGAGGTGACACCTGTGCCTTGGTCTCCCAACCCCAGGGCCCCCCAGCATCAGGTGGGCTGGCTTCCTCATGGTCCTTCCCATGTGGGATTACAAACAGATCCCAGACGTCCAGTCCAGGGTGACAGCCGGGAGGGCAGGGCCCTCAGGACCACCCCCACCAGGGCCTGGCACTGCCTGAGCCCTGAGACCCCCCACTTCACCACCCATGGGTGTCCTGGCCCGAGGGCCCAAAGCACCTCAGTTGTTCCCCATAAAAGACAACTGTGCACTGATATTTCAGGTGGGAAAACTGAACTGGTCAAGCACAGGAATCCATCTCTGCAGGGAGGTGAGCTGAGGTCCCCCCCGGGCAAAGAGACGGAACCTCCTGAGCCACGCGGGGACCCTGGCCAGGGCTCGGAGAGAGAGGGCTGCGTTTCCGTAGTATATTTTCTTTAAAGGTGAGAGAAGGTTCTGTCTTTGGTATGGACGGCCTCACCCCAGGCAGAGGGTAGAGGCAGGCAGGGGTCAGCGGGACGAAGGGGTCTTGGGCCCCCATCTCTTGGCCTCGCTGACCCAGCCCAGGGCCAGCTGAAGAAGGGAGATCCAGAGGCCCAACCGGAGGAAGGAGAGACAGCGGCGGTTCTAGCCTGACCAGAGTCCGGAGAGAGGCTGAGGAGCCCTAAGGCCACGACGGGGGCATCTGTGCTGCAGGACGGAGCCGAGAACCATCACCTGGGGAAGAAAGGGACAGAGACGTCAGCGGTGGGCTGTGCAGCAGCCACAGCAGGAGCGGGGACCTGGGCTCAGGGGGCTCAGCGAGGGTCCTCGGGCCGAGGGGCCGGGCTGAGGTCTCAGCTCCACACGTTCTTGCAGTGCGACCTGGGGCAGTGCCTTCCCCTCTGTGCTGTTCCTCCTCCTGCAAAATGAA